TTTGCGTTGTATGAAAAATTTTGTTGCTCTGTATAAAATTTTTAATCAAGCCCCCCCTCCCCCCCCCCCGGTCAGAGGTGTCCCTCTTTACCAATCTTAAAATCTGGTCACCTTAAGCTTGGGGGAAGAGGGGAATGAAACTCAGGAGTGACCCTCTGAATCTGGATCCAATAATTCTCCCCCTAGAAGAGGACAATCTCTAGATCCACTGCAACAATCTTCCCAATTGGCTATAGGGTAAATGGATCTTTTGGCACAAACTGAACCTGTGAGGCAGTTGCTTTATGAATAAGCATACACATCTCAGGTCTAGGACAACTTGCTATGGCCAACTTGCCGCGGCCATCTCACCATGGCCATCTTGTTGTGGCCATCTCATCGAGCAAACTTGCCACAGGACAACTTGCTATGGGACATTAAAAGTTATCCACCACTGTTTCTTTGACATTATTTCCATTTTTAACAATGAAAACAATGCCAAAGAAAGAGTGGCAGATAACATTTATTTTATTGAGTTATCCCATATGGAATTGTCCCATGGTGAGTTGGCCACTGAAAGTTGTCCTGTTATAAATTGGTTGGGGTGAGATGGTCGCATCAGGTTGGCCATGTTGAAGTGGCCATAGTGGTTTGTGCCCTTCTGTGCCTCTCTGTGATGGTCATTTTGTGAAGGTGCATGTGGCTGACCATGCCCATTGACCGAAAAGCTTGCCTTATTTCTGAGACAGAACATATGGACTTTTCAAAGAAACTGAAATGTTATTGTATAAAGCACTTCTTTCTAATAAAAGTTTTAAAATATGCCTCCTATTCATTTCTCCCTTTAAATGATGCCCTGGAATCAGGGGTGAAGTCCAGCAGGTTCTGACAGGTTCTGGAGAACCAGTAGTGTAAATTTCGAGTAGTTTGGAGAATTGGCAAATGCCACCTCTGGCTGGCCACAGAGTGGGGAGGGAATGGAGATTTTGCAGTATCCTCCCCCTGCCATACCCACCAAACCACGCCCACCAAGACACGCCCACAGAACCAGTAGTAAAAAAAAACTTGAATTTTACCACTGCCTGGAATGAATTAGAAATAGAGATCAGACTCTGACAGCTGCTCTTACAAATGGATGGGCACCTCAAAAAGTAATAGACAGTAGGATTCCAGAATCAGGTAGAAAGAAATGTGAAAAGAGGACATGGTGATGCCTTGTAATGACACAAATGATCAGAAGCCATAGGCCAATTAAGCTGAAGTAGTATAATGAATCAAATAAAACCAGCACAAACACCTTGATATAGTCCATATTGATATCAGCCAACCCTAAATAAAGCAAGCTGAGTGAAATCGTGATTCAGTTTAAAGAATTGGATTGCTGAAATTGTAAGATCTTTTTAGGTATTTGTATCTTAGGAATTATTTATTTCATACAAAACCGAACACACCTATGTAAGAGACTTTATAAATCAGGGAAACACAGTTTTAGTCTGTAGGCTAGAATTGTAGAATTGTAGCTGAGTGATGGAGCACCATCTTGTGGATACAACATGACTAACAGTTTTTTCAAAACCATGTTGATTTAACACAGGGGTGTCAAACTCTATTTCATTGAGGGTTGTATTTGACCTCGTGTGTGTGTGTGTGTGTGTGTGTGTGTGTGTGAAGGGTGGGCATGGCCAGCTCGACATCACTCATGTTGGGGCACCTGTGGCAACCCAAGCTCTCTGCCAGAGAAAATGGCCTCCCGAGCTCCGTTTTCAGCTGTGACGGCCCCCTGCAACCCTCTGCCAAAGAAAATGGAACTCGAGCTCCGTTTCTGCTGGAAGAGGCACCGTGGGCACCTCTTTTAACAAAAACAGAGAACCAGTTCGCTCTCTGTTTGAAGGCAGCACTACCCGTTCGGGAGAATGTGCAACAGCCAGCTGGCCAATGTGTATGCAGCCACAGGAATGTGGGAAAGGAGCCAGTGAGGCCATGCATCCCATGTGGGACGGCCTGTGCGCCATTTCCAGCATTTGTTCCATAGATTCGCCAACATGGACATAGGTGATAGAAGTCATGCTAAAACCATGACAATTTACAACTACAAATTGCAGCAATTTCCCTCCCACTCATTAAAGGAAGACAGGAAGTAGAGCTGAAGTTCCATCAAACCAGCAGATCTAGAGTCGTATACCATAGATAGCTGTAAGTCCTTCTGAGATGTTTGCTCTGGAAAAGTGATTGGAGAATTCAGAAGCATTGTGTGTTGATTCCATGGCACGGCCCATGTTGACAGACGTTCTTATTTTTCCTTGCTCTTCAGCTGGACTCAGTATTTGGAAGGCATTTCTAGCCACTGATTATTTAGAAATGAACAATAAAACAAGGGAAATATAATTTAGCCAAGAGAACATGTGCCAACCTTTTAAAATTATTATTACTACTATAAACTCTTGACTCCCCAGCCCCAAAAAATCATATATCTTAGTCCTTTGAAAATAATTCACTAAACTGAATTATCAGACTCTTCCAGACAAATAAATTTTAGACAGAATTATGCAAAATTATATGCAATGTTATTTAAAAACTACTTTATCATCCAAATTTCACAATCCAGTGCTGCTGGTTCTCTAAATTTCAGGAATAAATATTCCCTGTCAAGACTAGCTATAGCTCCTGAGGAAGTATTCTAATAGAGCTACCTATTTTTGCAAAGAAAAAGGAAAACTCAGAGCTGATTTCAGGACCCGCATTGAACAAGTAAGCAGCCCTGGCCAAAAATTTACATTTTGATTTAATTTAGTTGTATCACAATTAAAATAATGAGGTTAATTTAAAATAAAACTATTATGGTGGTCATGGATTCCTATGATTAACAAGGGGGTTGGACTAGAGCAGTGCTTCTCAGCCATGATGGTTTTAACATGTGTGTACTTCAAACTCCCAGAATTCCTCAGCCAAATGGTTGTGACAGGATCTTCATGGGGTTTTTTTTCTTCAAGTTATATATTCAATGATTCTAGCAATAGAATAAATAGTCCCCCGTTGTTTAATTACAATTCCTATTTGTAGATTTGTGGGATGAGAACTAAGTCCTCCTGCAGGCCAAAGGTCTCAGGCTGTGCATCTCTGCAATACAATAAGTCAACCAGAAAATTTGCAGTACAAGGAAATCAGACATTTAGCATCTAGGACCATGATGGCAAACCTATGGCACGGATGCCACAGGTGGCGCATAAAGCCATATTTGCCGGCCCGGCAGCCCTCAGCAGCCCTCAACTCTGGTGCGCACGTGCACCAGCCAGCTCATTTTCAGTCTTCTGGAGGGCCAGAGGAGGCCATTTTCACCCTCCCCAAGCTTCAGGAAAACCTCCGGAGACTAGAGAGGATGAAAAACAGGCCCAACTGTCCAACTAGAAGTCTGGGAAAGCCTCCGGAGCCTGGAGAGGGTGAAAATCCCCCACACACATGGGGGTCACTCACGCATGCACGGTGGGGGGTTCCTCTCATGCATGCGCAGGTGGGGGTAGCTTGTGCATGCACAGGTGGATGGGCACACAATTTTGGCACACTTTAGAAATCAACATCTCGGATGTTGATTTCCAGGTACAGCTAGTGTCCCTGTTCCAGGCATTCAGAGAAGTTTCAGGATGCTTTCTAGTCACTGAGCACAAAATAAATCCAAAGTGAGGGTTTTTAGTTACTGCTCAGAATCTGGGGATTGCCCTGTCAGTGGTAGCTCAACAGAGCAAGGACACAAGCATGTGTGACAAACAGAACGTGCAGGGAGAATGGCCAAAGTGGCTATCTTCTAAAATAAACATACTTTCCATTTATTGGAAAGGTTGGAATCTGTGTTATCTCACCGTGCAGATTTTCATATCACTGCAAAGATAGGAACCAGACTTTTTGAAAATTCTGCCTGTCTGAGAAAAAAAAAAATTGAAGCCACCTACCGTATTTTGGGGAGTACAAGACGCACCAAGATTTTGAAGAGCCAAATTTAAAAAAGTTTTTGCACTCTGCAGAACTCCCAAAAACGGCCTGTTTTTCGTCCAAAAAAAGGGCATGCATAGTCTTTAGGAGGCTTATAGATTGCGCCTGGGATCTGGGGGGAGGCACAAATGAGCAAAAAAACAATCTGTTTTTACTCATTTCTGCCCTCCCCAGCCCCCAGAAGCACTCTGGAAGCCTTCTAAAGGCTATGCACAGGCATTTTGGTGAAGGGGGGGCGGGGTTTCGGGAGGCCAAAAATGCTGTATTCAGTGTATAAGACGCACCCAGATTTTTACCCTCTTTTGTGAGGGAAAAAGGTGCGTCTTATACTTCAAAAAATACAGTATATGTTCATTTTATTTCAGCCACATTAATGTTTAAAGTTCACTGGAAACAGCCACTCACATTATCATTGCTATGTTCTTGCTCAGGAAAGTAGCCTCTATTTGCAGCTCCTCCTTCATAGAAATTGGTTGGGTTCTCAGCCGTGGCTCTGCTCCATTGTGCCCCATTCGTAGCTCGGATTCTAGGGAAGATTATCCCACTTTCAGCTAAGTTTGTGGCAGGAGGATCTCCAAAAGGATTGTCCAGGGTTGAATATTCATTGCTTATCAATTCTCGATGTTTAGGGTCCTGTTTTCTTTTATATAAAAAGAAAGGGTGATCACAATGACGTTCAAAATCTGTCTTCACTTTTTGTGCTCATCTTGGCTTTATCTTCATAACAAAGGCCCCAGGAGTTTTGTGACAAGAGGTGACAAAGCTAACCATTCATATCAATTTGACTTTACAAATATGTGCCCTGTAAAAGGACATTTAGGGTTTCAATCATGTTAGTAAAGGAAATTTCATAAACCCAAGTCGTCATGTTAGTTCTGATCATTTTTTTATTGCCATTTTAAACTCATTTTCAAACTCTGCAATATTCTTTTTGAGTCAAGGTCACCAGATTCCTAAGTTCATTAAGATGCTAGTTGGTACAATGGTATCATTGATTATTTCATTATTATTTCTCTTCGTATCAGCCTTGAAGTACACAAGACATTTCTATGATAAAAGGAAAACACACTTAAGCTCTTTTTACTCTAAATAATGAGGGGGACCTTTCCTAATGATCCCCAGTTTGAAACTCACTTTTTCACAACCTCTCTGCACTCCCTTACAGAGCCTTGCCTACCACAGTCTAGTTTCTATTCAATCACCAGAAGTTTTAGCGTGTCTGTGGTTACAAATGTTTGTGGCAATGCTCTTCAGTGTATGCTGTTGAACTTAACTTGCCATTTTGATGCTCATTCTCTTTCAATTTGGACAATCCTTTTGTTTCTCTTTGTTATCCTTTTTTGTCTGTAGACACTCTTGCAATTGAATGCGGTTGGCAAATCTGGCAACTTTACTGCTCAGCTCTAACTCCTTTTCTGAACAATTGAGAAGGATTAGTCCCAATTAAGAGTCCTGGAAGAGCCCTCTGGTTTCATCCTTTCCATGGAAGAAATGACTGTTTTTAATCTGCTTTTTAAATTTTTCATCAGTAACCTTTCAATAGAAAAACGTCTTTTCTTATCCCACGATTACTGTACTGTACAACTGGGAATGTTGGAAAGAGTAATTTGACAACTAGTGGAAACTCGGGGGAAATTCTAAAATGCTAGGTATAACCATGGTGGGATTCAGCCAGTTTGTACCACTTTGAGAGAACCGGTTGTTAAGTTTCTGAGCAGTTTGGTGAACTGGTTGTTGGAAGAAATCATTAGGGCAGAGAACCGGTTGTTAAATTATTTGAATCCCACCACTGGCTATAACTAATTTTGCATGTTTTCTATATTTTATGCCAGGGGTCTCCAAACTTGGCAACTTTAAGGCTTGTGGACTTCAATTCCCAGAAGTCTTGGCTGGCTGAGGAATTCTGACAGTTGAAGTCCTACAAGTCTTAAAGTTGTCAAGTTTAGAGAGCCTTGTTTTATGTGATAGTTTCTTTGTGTTATGCTTTAATCCAAGTGGACAATGAACACCTCTCCCATTTTTGTGACTCATGAACCCTTCTCCGCAAGTGTCCCACTAAAGCAGGTCCTGAAATGGTTATTTTGAGTGTCACAATATTTTGTTCCTTTTCACAGTAAGGCTTAAAATCAGTGTGTTAAGGTTATTTTGATCTTAATATTGACTATTGCTTAATTTGTTTGAAAGGACCTGGGTGTCTCCCATGCATATGTAACAAGAGTAAGATACAGGTAGTCCTTGACATGCGACCGCAATTGAGCCCCAGATTTCCTCCGCCAAGTGACCCAGTTAAATGAATTGTGTCCCATTTTACCACTATTTTGCCACAGTAGTTAAAATGAATCACTGCAGTTCTTAAGTGAATCATATGGTCACTAAATGAATCTGGCTTCCTCCATTAACTTTGCTGGTCAGAAGCCGGCTGGGAAGATTACAAATGGTGATCACGTGACCCCAGGACAGTACAACTGTCATAAGTACATGCCAGTTGCAAAGCATCCAAATTTTGATCATAGGATCATGGGGTGCGACAACGGTCATAAGTGTAAAAAACAGTCATAATTCACTTTTTAAAAATAACTTTGGATGGTCACTAAATGAATGGTGGTAAGTTGAGGACTACCTGTATTCACACTAAAGCTGAAGCTGTGACAAGATTGATATACACATTTAATCAATTGGTCCATTCATGCATCACCTAAAGCAGAGGTCAGCAATCTGTGGCTCTGGAGCTGCATGTGGCTCTGGAGCCGCATGTGGCACTGGAGCTGCATGTGGCTCTGGAGCTGCATATGGCTCTTTCATCCCTCTGTTGCGGCTCCCTGTCACTCAAAATATGTGTCACAACCACCACATGTGTGATACTTGCCGGCATGCAATTTATTGAGCTTTTTGACCCCCGGTAGGCCAGCCATGGATAAATCCAAGAAAAGTTTTAGAAGAAAACAGAATGTTTAATGCAACTACATATGCTAGTTCTGTGGCTGCTCAAGAAATAGTCAGGCATGGGAAGGGTATTGTTGCTCCCTCTGTTTTCTTTTCTGTGGGAAACGTGTCCAAATGGCTCTTTGAGTGTTTAAGATTTCCGACCCCTGACCTTTGATCTCCAAATTAAACTATGAAATTCAAACTTATCTCATGTCACAATTTTTTTAATGGCATCTGTTCATACACCCCCAAAAGTCATTTGTACCTGATTAAGACGTAAGTTGTAACACCAATTAAAGCCACCAGAAGAACGCCGCAGAAGGTAGATATTCCTATGATGATGGCCATGTAACCTGAGAAGAGATTTCAAAATTACCATGGATATCATGTCTTTTATGAGGTCCTCTACATACCCTTATTTTGCATGGTTGCAAATAGAAGGAGAATAGAATTTAATTTTCCCTGTCACCTACAGGGCTATTATATCTTGTTTTGTTTTTTCTAAACTCTCCCCTATTATCTATTTCTTTTTTTAGTTATCCTTGTTTTCATTCTAGATTGTCTCTGTATAGAGAGGTTTCTTACTTTGGATGGAATAGGGAAAAAGTATCAGAGATTCCTCTATGTTTATCAAATTACATCTTGACAGGGAGACAATGAAGGGTGATTGATTGCTTGATTTCATCCGAATTGATTTAATAGCTGCCAGTGGTGGGTTTCACGTTTTGTTACCACTGGTTTGCTGTGCATGCGCCTGGCCTTTCATGCATGTGCTTTGCTCGCACACGTGCCTTCTGCGCATTCACCCAGCCTCAAAAACATGCCTAAATAGGAACAAAGAGCTTGGGCGGATGGGCGGGGGCGGGCCTACCCACGATTTCCACTACCAGTTCATGTGAACTGGTCCAAACTGGTTGAATACCACCTCTTGCTCCTCATCCCTAGGAATTTTTGGTTCTTCTTTTTCTTTTGGAAAGAGTGAATGGGAAAGAAATGAAGAAATAAATCATCTCTTGGGATACAATATAAGTGGGGGCGGGGGGGACCACCACGATTTGAAGATGAATGGAAGGAGGAGGAAATTCAAATATTTTACCATGCTGATAGACATAAACCTAGATATCTTCATAGAAGGATTTCCTGGAGGCCTTATTTAATTAGCAAGTAGTAGCTTCTTGGGGATCAGAGAGTTTTGGGGGAGAAAGAAAGCAAGAGCCACGGGAGGGTAGGAATTTAATTGAAAGTGAACCAAATGTAAAGTGTCAACGAAAGTGGGGAAAAGCAGAGCCTTGTGTTAAAGTGTAAAGTGTGAGTGCCAAATTCTGCCACCGAACCTGACCACATACAATTAACTGTGTTCTATAATATAATTTTTATAACATACATTCACCATGCTGAAGTGAAATAATATTTTGTTTATTTCAAAATAACACTTCCTGTCCCCAACTCTGTGAGGGAAACAAGGAATTTTAAAACAAAATTAAAACAAGAAATAAATATTTATCCGGGGGGGGGGTTGTTTTGTGGAAAGAGCTTCCGTATTATGATCATCTTAGGAAACACAAAATACATTGTTACATTTTGGTAGCAGGATTCTTTTTTGGAAAGCTTAGAATATCCCAAGTCCCTGTGCTAAATTTCAGCTGTGGCAATTGGGTATGTTCAAAGAATTTATTTGGTCCTGAGCAAATCATAAATGGTGACTACCTCTTTGAAGTTCTTCATAATATATATTTATGTGGCATTGCAACAAAGATGTTCTACAAAAATACTTGAAATGGTACAGTGCAGAGGTGGGCTGCTCCCGGTTCGGCCCGGATCGGGGGAACTGGTAGTAGCGGTGGCAGGAGGCTCCACCCACCCTCCCAGACTCTTCTGCGCATGCACAGAAGTGCCATGTACACAGGAACGTGTGGGGGAGCATGTGCGGGAGCGCACCTGAACCAGTAGTTGAAAAATTGGCAACCCACCTCAGGTACAGTGCAACATAGAGGTGTCCACAGAAGCTTGCTGCTTTCATTAGAAAGATAAGAAGCAGTAATATTGTGCTGCAAGATGTGTGCCTCTTTTGTACATGAATATGGCATCACAAGGCTCCTACAATGCACTCCCCTAAACTCACATCCATTGCAAATGATGCTTATGGCAAATATAATCTTAAAAATGGCAGTTTTCAGTGTGGATCTGGTCCAGAAATGGTTCTATATGTATGTCTGTACTGTGTGTGATATTTCTCCTTATGTTTTCTCAAATAATAGAAGTTGCATTTCTGGGCTTTTTTGATACAATTTATATTATAGATGGTCTACCATATACATTTTCTCCCAGAAATAGTTTCCAGTTTTAAATAAAACATTCTCCTTGTAATACATACTGTCTTGGCAGTCTTCTCCAGAAAACCCAATGCCGCACCTAAAAGTAAACACAAAGTATCATTGTGAGTGATCGAATAAAATATACCAATGATGTACCAAGATTCCTCCTGTGCAGATAGCCCTTGACTTACAACTGGTTATTTTGTGATCACTCACAAGTTCTGATGGACCCTTACATAGGTACTTGGGGCTCAGAATCCACAGCTGCCCATCCCTGTGGTCACACCATGCCATTTACAACCCCCACTTTCACGTAACCAACTGTTACAAAAAGTGTTGTAAAATTGGATCAGACATGTGGGTGCTTATGAGCATCGGGACATACAGTGGAAATTCCAGGCTCCATTATGGTTGTAAGTCAAGGACTACCTGTAGAACGATCGTTTTATTTACAGTGGGAGAACATATTGTGTGTAACTTAGGAGCACTATGTTTTTTATATCTTAGATGAGCTTCTTTTTTTTCTTATAATGCATATTATTATCATGATATGATTAAACTGGCTCCCCACATCTCTCTATGCAGCTAATGTCTGCTTAGGAAAGACTTAAGACCACAAATCATCCCATGCAATCATATCAGTTTGGCACAGCAATCAAACTCTGGTCAGTACAAGAGGCAGCAGATAGCCAACCTTGGTCATTCTTGGGGAACAAAGAAGGCTAAAACTTTCTCTCACCTGGAGGCCAAAAGGAGAATAAAACAAAAGGAAGTCAGGGGGAAAGGGCAACAACAAACTGCTTCCATTTTGTTTTTACAAAAACAACATGGGCAGGTCCACCCATTCACAGAAATGAAGATAACATTGGAGGAGAGCAGCTTTCTTAATCACGTACTTACGCTTTACATTCTCCATCCTTTTCCTTGAAATTTGGCAGACATCGGCAACCAGGGATGAGATTTGCTTTTATGAGACAGAATCTATTGTTTTCTGCAGAACAGCTTTGGTGACAAACTGCACTCGGGAGGGGAGGAAGAGATAATAATTTAGGATTATTACTTAGGATTGACTGAAGATAGGTCATATCAAAGCGAGGCAATGGCAGCCCAGTGGTTCCTTTCAATATTTAGATCAGCCTCCAGAGGCTCCATTTTGGCCTGGAACAGGCCGGGGAGACCCCCGGATGCTCCATTTCAGCCTGGAACAGGGCAAGGGAGGCCTGCAGGTGGCTGAATGGAGCATTGAAGGGCCACAGTCGTCCCTCGGAAGTTCCATTTCGGCCAGCAACCTGTCAGGCAAGGCCTGTGGAGACTCAAACGGAACTGTAGAGGGGTGCTTGTGGCTGATAGGCTGGAGAGGAGACTGCTTGCTAGACCTTCACAAGGTAAGTGACCCGGCTCGGCAGGTTGTGGGGGGAAAGCAATTGTGGGGAGCATGAGGTATTTCAGTGGGTTGGGGCGGCCTTGGTTGGTCTTAAGCAGGTGGCCTTATCATTACAAGACACACACACCCCATGGCCTTCCCCACCCTGAAATACCACATGTGCACTAAACGAGCCTTGCATTTGATTAGCAAATGCATGGGTGAAAGGAGGGAGGGATCGCATTCAAGGTATGAGATTCACTTCCACGAATCCTTGGGTTATGAATGGAATGGGCAGTTTTTTGTTTTTTTTTAGCAATAGCAGTTCGACTTATATACCGCTTCATAGGGCTTTCAGCCCTCTCTAAGCGGTTTAC